AGGGGGGGGGGGGGGGGGGGGGGAAGAGAAGTGTGAAGGAGACAGTTTAGCACAGGCCTTGTCCCAGCTGGGATTGCAGCCGTGCTGCGTGGAAGTGCTTGTGGCCAGGGGCCTGGGGACCCTGGAAGGGGCAGCAAGGGACGTGGGAGCCAGAGGAGGAGGGGGCCGGGTGCTTGGGTCCCACGGCTGCTCCGGGTGACCGGAGGTGAGGAGCCGAGTCCAGGGAGTGCTGTACCTTGCAGAGGGAGCCGGCCCTCTGCTCCAGAAAGCCCATGCCCTACCTCTCTGCTGCCCTTAGTCCCTAAGGTGCGTGTGGCCCGCGCCCAGCTCCTGCCTTCCCCGCGAGGGAGCCCCAGGCGGGGGTGGTGGGGGATTGCCCCGTCAGACCCCGGAGACGCGGTCCCTGCCAGAGCAGGCGGTGGCGCAGCTGTGGCTGCCCCGTCCGGAGCGGTGCGCAGAGAGGCTGGATGAGCCCAGGCCGGGGCGACCCCTGCGCGCGCGCTGCTCTGGGTGCTTCCCAGGCCTCCGGGCTTTGCCAGCTGCCGTGTGGGGCCAGGAAGGATCCCCCCGGCAGGGCTCTCTCCAGCCTGGGGGAGAAAGACCTGCTGGGGGCTGGTTTTAAACCGGCGGCCTGCGCGCTTCCCGGTGGCCCCTCGCTCCCCTTGCCTGCTGAGACACCGCGAGAAATCCTCACGGACTTCCTCTTCTCACTGAGGGTTGTAAGGCCTCGTCCCGGCCCCTGTCGTGCCCTGACCAGGCCTGGCCTCCTCAGCGGCTCGTAGGGAAGCCCCTGCGGGCCGCTCTACCGCTGCTGGTCCTTCCCTGTTCGGAGCGGAAACGAACCCTGACCCTAACCCAAATGTGGATAAACTGGAGAGAGTCCAGTGGAGGGCAATGGACATGGTTGTGGGGCTGGGGGACAGGACTGGTGAGGAGAGGCTGAGGGAAATGGGCTGATTTAGTCTGCAGAAGAGAAGACTGAGGGGGATTGAATAGCAGCCTTCAGGTCCCTGCAGGGGGTTGCGAAGAGGATGGAGCTGGGCTGTTCTCAGTGGGGGCAGGCGACAGGACAAGGAGCAATGGGCTCAGGCTGCAGCAAGGGGAGTCGAGGTTGGATATCAGGAAAAAATGTCACTAGGAGGGTGGTGAAGCACTGGAGCAGGTTGTCTAGGGAGGTGCAGTCTCCATCTTTGGGGGTTTTCGGGTAGACGAAGCCTTGGCTGGGATGATGTAGCTGGGGCTGGTCCTGCTTGGAGCAGGGGTTGGACTGGATGTGACCCGCTGAGTCCCTTCCAGCGTGAATTTTCATTCTATGAAATCTCTCCCCCTCCAAGACATGGGACACGCTGGGGTTTTCTTGCCCCCCGTCGGAGGGAAACAAGGGGCACCGGTCACTGCAATGCTTGCGCTGCCGCCCTGCGCCCAGCGCCGTACCTGGACTCCTCGTGGCCCCACGTGCACTCCTAGCACTGGCCCCCCTTCACCAGAGATAAGGATAATAATAATAATAAAAATGACCAGTTTCGGGCCCCTTTTCTGTCCGCACCTCCGGCAACTGCCAGTTTGCCCGTGTCCAGCCCTGCCCGCGCTGGGCTATGGCAGATGCTTTGTATCAGACCTAACCCTGCCCCTAGCCGTGCTGCTCGGTGCCCTTGCCAGAGGATGTTTCTAGCTGACTCTGTCGTCTGCTTGCTGTTCTCCGGACGACTCAATAAAAGCTAGACGCTGGACGGGAGGCTAGGGCCGTCTTAGCCACTTTAGGCTGGCACCAGAACCACAGACCAGCCGCGACACTGTTACACGTGATGTGCACAACAAGCACGACACGCCGGGCGACGTGTCTCGATGGTGGTTGCTTCTGCAGACCCCCAGGCAGGAAAAGCAAGCGGACATTGTTTCCGGCTTCACAGCACAACACCGGGGCTCCCGGAGCCCCTTGGCAGTGTGTCCAGCGCCTCCGAAAGTCAAGGCCGCCCCGGAGCTCGGGCTTGCCCACAGCTGGGATATTGCCAGAGCTAACACCAGTTTGCTGGGCTGGGAAATGGGAGTTGCGTGACCAGGAGCGGCTGCTGGCAGAGCTGGGCAACAGCACCGAGAGGAGCGCATCGCAGCACCTCAGATCCCCCTTTTCCCCACCACATCAGGCCGTTTAAAGTCAATGCAGGGTGAGAAAGCAGTGGGACAGGCAACGCAGAGAGGTGGTGCAGCCTCCGACCTTGGAGGAGTTGAAGACCCGGGCAGACAAGGCCTCAGTTGGGATGATGCAGCTGGGGCTGGTCCTGCTTGGAGCAGGGGCTGGACTGAATGTGACCCCCGAGCACCCTTCGACCCTCCTGTTTTGTGATTCTAAGTCACGCTCACACCAGTATATGTTAGAGTTATAAAATCACAGACAAGGAGGGTGGGAAGGGACCTCAGGAGGTCACATCTAGGGCAGCCCCCTGCTCCGAGCAGGACCAGCCCCAACTCCATCATCCCAGCCAAGGCTTTGTCTAGCTGGGTCTTCAAAACCTCCAAGGATGGCGACTCCACCACCTCTCTGGGTAACCTGTCCCAGTGCTGCACCACTCTCCTCGTGGGAGAGCTTTCTCTAACATCCAACCTCAATTTCCCTTTTTGCAGCTTGAGCCCATTGCTCCTTGTCCTGTCGCCTGCCCCCACTGAGAACAGCCCAGCTCCATTCCCTTTGCAGCCCCCCTGCGGGGAGGTGGAGGCTGCTATTCAATCCCCCTCGGTCTTCTCTTCTCCAGACTAAATCAGCCCATTTCCCTCAGCCTCTCCTCACCAGTCCTGTCCCCCAGCCCCACAACCATGTCCATTGCCCTCCACTGGACTCTCTCCATCGTGCCCACATCCTTTCTGCAGCGGGGCCTGCAGCTGGACACGGGACTCCAGATGTGGCCTCCCCCGTGCTGAACAGAGGGGTTATTGCCAGATATTGCTAACAAAGACTATGATCTCGGTTTCCCCCGCCCCACCACGGGACTCGGAGCGCTCCAGCGACGGGCCCCAACACTATCCCTCAACAACCATCGCTTGCATTTTTTTCTTTTCAGCAGGCAGCACAAAACCCAGGGTTTTTCCCCTTCCCATTGAAACCATACGGTTTCCAAGCCACGCGCAACCCCTCCAGCCCCCAAACCACAGCGGTGTTCCTGCCCGAATCACCTACACCGCACACGTCCAGGCCAGCGGCTCACAAAATGCAGCCAGAAGTGACAGGCCGCTGGGTTACTGTCTTGGGGAAAACCCCATTATACTCCTCCCCACCCCCCATTTTTCCAATTAGTCTGGACTTTCCTCTCTATTTATTCTTCGCATACTTCTTCCACTTCCGTTCCTTCCAACAAGCCGCACGCCCCCAACAACAGACGCACACATTTTCTCCTTTGACTTATTGGCTATTTTCCCAACAAGCTGTATTTCTAGAGACTCCGTATTTCTCCATGTCCCGATGTCTAGAGACGAGGCAACAAAGGGAGCTTAGGCTGTCGAGACCACGAGAGAGCGCGCCCGGCCCGTGTCAAGACAGTCACTCGATGGGAACGCCCAACCGGGGGCAATTACCATTCAGACCAGTAAATGCTCGCGCCTGGGAGGGTGGGTGCAGGCCGGACCCTGGGACCTCTGAGCTCTCGTCCAGCTCGTCTGGGTGCTCGGGTCCAGGACGCCCCACTTCCCTGGGCTCTGCAATCCCGGCTACGTGCTTATTAATGCCACGCGTCTGTCTACGTCCAAAGCAGAGGCGTATTGATGGTCATGGAGACCCGCTCCCCAGCTACGTGAAGTGGTTAGGATAAATGCTTCCCGCCGGAGGTCCAGGTTGTAGCCGTATTGGTCTAGAGGCGAAAGCCACCAGGACTCGTGGCAGAGGGATCTCTTTCATCAGACCGACTAGATTTTTGCAAAAACAAATTCTTTTAATTGCAAGCTTTCAGGCACAAACTTTTCTCCCGTGCCTGAAGAAGGGTATTTGTGCCTGAAAAGCTTGCAGTTAAAGACATTTTTTTCGCACAAATCTAGTTGGTCTGATAAAAGAGATCCCCTCTGCCATGAGTCTCGGCTTCGGTTGGGTCTCACTCTTGACCGTGAGGCTCTGCCTTATGGCCGTGGGTCTCCCTTGCTGGGTTTGTGTGCCTACAGGCGGACACCCCCGTCGGTGCTTCCTTGTCCACGCCACCAAAGACCAGGGCACGTGGCATGGTGTGGCCATGTCTCTACAAGGTTCCCCACCTTCCTTCCAGCCGTTATACAACAGAGGGCGTCTGCAAGACGGAGGTGCTTGGGCCAAGGCCTCTAAAGCCTTCGTTGCGTTGGCCATCCGTGGAGAACGGGCAATGGCTGCATGCCCAGGGACCTCTCGTGTGGACAACTCCTCGGGGCAGGAAGACCACGCGCGTGTCCTCTTCGCCCGGTCAAGAGCCGAGGGCTGAGGCTGGAGGCGCTTGGGAACGGCCTCGGTGGTGTGGCACGAAGGCTTTGGAGGAAGAAGAGCCTGATCCGCGAAGGGCAGCAGAAACTCAGGAAGAACCTGCGCCGCGTTCAGGAGCGTCTGAGACCGATGTCGCGGGTAGGTGTGGAAGGGACCGGGCGCTCCCCACACCTGCACGCGGCCGGCCAGCTGGCACCTCTCTGTGCCTTCCTCTCGTCTCGGGGACGGGACAGTCACCGTGCTGGGGTCGCCCGAGCCCACGCGCCTGTCCTG